TCATTTGCACAGTATGATGATTTCTAATTTTTTTGAATAAAGCAGTTACAAATTTAATGAAATTCCAAATTTGTACCGTTGAAGAAACAAAGTAAGTAAGAGAAGGTTGAGTTGGGGTAAAATGATTTTAAAAAGTGGAACCAAAATTGAAAACAGTAACGTGGTAAAAGTGGTGCATTTGTTATCTTAATTGTTGGTTTCACGTTTTGTTTCACCTCCTGACAAATATTCTTCCGGTTACCTTGAGAGATCAATATGAGCATAAAAACTAACCATCTACCATTGATAAAAAAAAACCACCATTGATAAAAACAAACCACCATTGATAAAAAAACCTCATGACATATATAGGAATAGTTCATAAATATAACAATTGGAAATCACAATTAAGTAAGAAAAACCACCATTAATAATAAAAATCACTATGAAAATTATAAAAAATTTTGTCAAAATCTAAAGTCATGCAAAATCTTAAGCAAAACCCATTAAATTTAAGATCAAATGGGACATATGAAGCCAAAAATGCAAAAATAAAAAAATCAGACACAAACACAACAAAAACAGAAAATGTCGACAGTACTTCAAATTCTAATTAAAATAACAACAGAAGATTGAGAGAAGAAAGAAAAGTAACTTTTATAGGGCCAAAAAGTGTTAATTTGGTTCCTCTGCGTATACAACTTCTTAATCTAATAATCTCCTTTTACGGGCTAGTGTTGAACTTCGATTCGTTATCATTGGTTCTGTTGTATTTTGGTGGGTACATGAAGAAAAAAACAAAAGAGATTGTGCAGTTAAAATGTGCGGTTACATTTTTAAAATGTGAGAGAAATGATTTCAACAAAAAAGAGATTCTAGCGAGAGGGGTGTAATTTTTTGAATATCACATTTTTATTTTCCATTTATGCCCAAAACAATCATACAATTAAGTAAAAGCGTATGCAATTAAAAAAGGATATAAATATCTTAAAAATAGTGGAAACCAAACCCATGTATTCTCTTTATCTATTGTTATATATATATATATATATATATATATATATTTAATAATCATTCTGAATTTTTTTTAATGTCTTGATTGATTAATCATAATTTTTTTTCATTCACAAAACTCGAATCTCATATCTTAATTAAATAGTCTAAATTAAATTTCACTTATACTTACAATTTTATTTCATTTGATTTAAAACTTTGATAAGGTGATTTAATTAGATTGAAATGTTATTCAATCAAGAACTTAATAATATATAAAATATAATCCAATCAACATATTTAGTTAATTAATTTTTATATTATTGTAACACTATTAATTTTATGATTAAGTCGAGTCAGTTCGGAAAGGTATAAAAGTATTTTCTTAAGTTTTGAGCCTCATAACTCAAGTTTCAAAATTTTATAGAAATAGACTAGTGAGAAGTTCTTTGAACTTGAGCAAACCTCCTCCCTCTTCTTCTTTGTCTTATAAACATTTCCATTCATTCTTGAAGTTGATAGGAGTTGCTAAGTTGAAGGATCAAGTCTTGTGAAGTTAGGGTTGGATTTTGGAGATGCACGAGATCATTCTACTTTTCTTTTCCTCTTGCTGTTTTGGTGTTCCAAGAGGTAAGGGAAGCTTGTGTTTTTATGGATGGTGTGATGATTTGTGCTTATTCAACTTCATATAGTTGTTGAATTAATTATGAGTGAAGAGGAAATGATTATTTGTTGAGTCTTTGGTTATTGATTGTGTTTCATGAGGATTTAGTGATTCTTGCAAATCGATCTATGGTTGCATATTGTTTTTTGATGATGAAATCTTGTTGTACATGTTGTATAAATGTTGTTTGGTACAATGCATGTTGTTGGGATTTGCTGGATTTCAAATGGATTTAATGAAATCAGTTTCTACATTAGTGCAAAAACTAATATTGTGTCAGATCGATGTGCCTTCAAGACATCAGACGCGACTCCAAAGAGGGGTCCCTATCCTACTCACGCTAGGTGTAGGATTGGTAGTGTCAAACGTGAGGAGAGAGACTCGTCTTAGGTTGCAATCACACTAGGTGTGAATTGTGTGAGAACCTCTACACATAACCATGTTAGGCGTAGGTAGTTTAGCATTGGGCATAGGCGAGACAAGAAGTTCCCCACCTCAATGGTGTTGGACGTCCTGTGAATGGCGTTGAGCACGAGTTTCATGATGAAAGTTTTTTTTAAGTTGTTTTAATAGTTGAATGATGGAACTAAGTAGGTGAGATGGAGTGATGAACCTCCCTTGCTTTGTTCCTCACAAGATCTTGTCCTTGAAATGAAATTTCGGAGAAAGAAGAGAAGTAGAAGACCAGATTTTGCTTGAACCAAATCAAGATGGAAGCACTCTAGCCTAAGAGAGCAAAGGATTGCTCACGGATCCACCTAGAAGTTCTAGGAATTCCTAAGGCTAAGCAAGGTTCCGAGGGACTTTTAGGAGAGAACTGACTGAATGCAAATTTCAGATTTCTCAAGTATTCAAAAATGATTACATGAATGAAGGAAAAGACTTATATAGGCACGGATGGATGCATCTAAGTTTAATTTGGCAAGCATTTAGGGTTGATTTGAGTGTGCACATGTTCAGCCACTCATGGTGAAAAACATATGACTCAATATGCAACTTAAATGACTTCCAAATGAAACCTAGTTTTGCCTAATTAGCCTATTTAAGTAATCCTTCCATTTTCCTAGTCTAAAGGCCTAAATACAATGGCCAACCAAATACAAACATTAGGAAATAATAAATAAATAAAAACAAAATAAGCCTCATATTGGGTACCAAAAGTCCAAAGACTCATAAAGCCCAAAATCTAGGCCTATGAGACCTAAGGCCCAAAATCCTATTCTAAGAGGTCCAAAATGCAAGACCAAGAAATATGAAATCCTACACTACTTATGAACATAGTAAAAATGGTGATCATTGAAAAGCCCATGTGAAAAGTACCTCGGGCCCACCAAGCCCATTGAGCCCACCAAGCTCTGAAGCAGTCAAATCTTCTAGTAACCTCCTGGTCATGGCTCTAGTGGTTGGACCCTTGATCTATGTTCTTCTATTAGATGATGAATGAGTTGTATGATGATGACTCTATATGTTGGGAGTTGATACATTATGTGATGATATTCATGTTGTTAAGATGTAAGTTGATTAATGAATAAGTTGTGAGATGTTGTAGTTGAACGAGTTCTAATGTAACATACTGAGGCAGGTTAGCATCAATGAAGAATGACTTAAAATTCTCAAAATTAACTTTGAACCAACCAAATCAATGAAATGGGATGCTTCATGAATACACATAACGATGACAAATGGTGGGGATGCATCATGTATGTGATTTGGTTGTGTTAATTAAAACATTAATCAAGCATTATGATGGGTTAGTATCGTATTATAACTATTTTCTATTGATTGAAGTTTTATCAAAAAAACACAAAATTAAAATTATGAATGATACTCTTCAATGAGGAAGTACATCGTAAGTCTCAATAAAATTTAGTAAATGTTAATTTTTAAAAAAATTATAGAAAAATCTGTTGGCAATTATGTATCCTTTTATTTAAAATTACATATAATAGAGCCAATGTACAAATTGTGTCTATTTCTCTCTTGATAGATATCAAATAAATAGTGTTCTACGAAGAATATAAGAAAAAAAATAAATATAAAACTTGTATAAGATTCAACTAATCCATATTACACGAGAAGATTCTCTCATGTTTTGATAAATGGACATTTTCATATTTAAATTTCACAATTTTTATGTCAATGATGCTTAAATAAGAGGGGTCTTGTAAAAATTAATAAAATAAACATGAAATTTACACATCTCTTTCTTGTGACATTATTTTTTTACCTTAAAACATCGTCTATTAAAAATAAAATAAAATGTGTTGGTAGCATCTTTTATATAGTTTAACTAAATATAGAAGTCTTTTAATGACCAAAGCATGTTGAATTTATGTGTGGTTTATGTGATTAAAAAACATGTTATATACAATAATGATATTTGAAATTATATTATTATCATTTTGTTTTCCTTTTAATAAAGTCATTACTACATGTTATTCAAGTAGTAATTGAAATCGTTAAAATGAGACTTTATATGATTTATTAATCTCATTGTAAGATGTATAACTTAATTTTTATTCAATTATATATTAAAGTCCAATACCGAGATTCAACACGTGATTCATATAAAAAATAAATTATTAAAAATTATGATGTTTACATACATGTACATATAATTGAGTATCTCTTGCACAATTTTATCTTTTGCTTCTCATACTTCTTTAGTATGTATATTTCTCTAACTTATTTAATGAGTAAATGATTGTTTTAATCCTTAAAAAATATATAACATCATCATGTTAAACCCTAAAGTCAATTTTTTTAAAAATAAATCACGAAAAGTTATTTTACCAATCACATTAATATAAAATTAGAAGAAAAAAAAATGTGACGAATAATAGTATCAAGACAAACAACTATTTTGATTTGTGAAAGTATAATGCACTAACACATTTATTTTTAAAATAAAAAAATCAAATAAATGCTCAATTTTATTTACTTATATTTGTAAACATAACCATTTTATTTTTGGTCTTCAAACATTTTATCATTAATTTTAAATTTTAAAGTAATGTAATTGTCATATTACACTTGCAATAACTTATTTGAAATTTTCTTTGTTATGCATTTTGGTGGTTTACTCAATAATGTTAACAAATGTTTAAGTACTAAAATGGTAGTAATTACTTTTATTTTATCTTTTCTCTATTTTTTTTTTCTTCCTCTCTCTCTCTTCTCCTTAAACAACATTGCAGGAGATGATTGTTTTGGTATGTCTTCCTATTTTATTTTGCCATATGTGATCATCAGAAATGACAAATTACATAATTATTATAACCAGAAGACTTAAATTTAAGAAGATAAAAAACCGCACACATTAAAAGTGCAATAAAATGAAGTGAAAAAGAAAAAGTGCAATAAAAATTATAAAATGATGATCTCCGTGTGTAAAAACCGATGAATCAAGGTTTCCCAATCATGCCAAATTGCTAAGGAACGCAGAAAACCCCAAGCCCGTACCTTTCTGAAACCTCACTCCTCTGCTTCTTCAATTCATCGGGTAAGCTCTATTATTCTTTAATTCCCACTCGAATGTGATTTTCCCCCTCAATTTCTGCTTCCAATTTTGCCTCAATCCCCGCTCTCGGGTTTCGTTTCCTTTTCAAGAAACCGAAACCCTAGACGATTTTCCCTGCCAGTGTTTGGGTAATTGAGACCCTAATATTGGAAATGAAAGCGCCAAATGCTTTGTTTGGTGCAAGACGCAGAAATTTTCACGGGCTTTTCAACGGATTGTGTGCCATGGTCGTGTTTTTCTTCTTTTACAATCGGGAAGACATCATTCGCAACCCTCTTCTTAGGCAATCATCGTTTTTTGTGAACCATGGTTCGCCCCAAAATTCGAATTTGAAAGATGCGCCTTCCGTGATTCACCGTCGAATGGTTGAAATCCGCCCCAACTCTTCAAATGTAGCTGGTGGCGAAGATTTAGGCGTGAGTAGTTCTGGATTATGTGCTGGGTTGGTCCACCATGATGGTTATGCTAGTTCCTGTGAATTCTTGAAGGTCAATCCACAATGTTCTTCTGATGGGTATCTTGATTACTTGAACTTTTTCTATTGTACATGTCAGAGTTTTAGAGTGTTTGGTTATCTAGTATTGGGTGTGTGGCTTGCTGCTTTGTTTTATCTCCTGGGGAACACTGCTGCAGACTATTTTTGCCCTTCTCTTGAGCAGCTCTCAAGGCTCTTGAAACTGCCTCCAACTGTGGCTGGGGTTGTGCTGCTTCCACTTGGGAATGGAGCACCTGATGTGTTTGCAAGTATAGCTTCCTTTGTGGGTGCTGAAAGTGGTGAAGTTGGTCTTAACAGTGTGTTGGGTGGTGCTCTTTTTGTTACCACTATTGTTGTTGGAGCTGTTTCGCTGTGTGTTGCGGAGAAGGGGATTGGAATCGATCGAAGATGCTTTATAAGGGATGTGACTTTCTTTCTAGTCACACTTGTTTCGCTGCTTTTGATTTTGGTTGTTGGTAAGGTGGGTGTTGGAGCGGCCATTGCTTTTGTGTCCATATATATTGTTTATGCATTTGTTGTTGCTGCCAATGAGTTATTGAGGAAACATGCACAGAGGTTGAAATTGGATGCTGTCACACCTTTGCTTCCTGTACAGGGAAGTGTGTTCTCTCTAGGTTCTGAAGAGGATACTTCTATCTATAGCTCTTTGCTTGAAGACACCGATAGTGATCCTCCCCACCTTCCTCCATCCTTGCCGCAGTGGATGTGGTCTTCAAATGTGGCTATATATTCAAACCAGGGAAGCGTCCATTATTTGGATGATGAGAGGCCCCCCTGGGGATGGAGTGATGGGTCCACGGAAAACAGCAAGATGTCGTTCTCCGTTTCCAAACTTTTTCTGCTGCTGGAGATTCCACTGGCAATTCCTAGGCGGTTAACAATTCCAATGGTCATTGAGGAACTATGGTCAAAGCCTTATGCTGTGGCCAGTGCTTCATTGGCTCCCATTCTCCTAGCCTTTCTGTGGAGCACCCAAGATAATGTGAGTAATCATGGTGTCATTCTTTCTTATTGTGCGGGTGTTGCTGTTGGATGCACATTAGGTATCCTTGCATATAGATTCACAGTGTCGGATCATCCACCGCCTCAGTTTTTGCTCCCTTGGGTTCTTGGAGGATTCATCATGAGCATAGTGTGGTTCTACATAATAGCAAATGAGCTTGTGGCTCTACTGGTAGCGTTTGGTATAATTTTCGGAGTTAATCCATCCATTTTGGGATTAACCGTACTAGCATGGGGAAATTCAATGGGAGATTTGATGTCAAATGTTGCATTGGCATTGGATGGAGAAGATGGAGTTCAGATTGCCTTATCTGGATGTTATGCGGGTCCTATGTTCAACACACTTGTTGGTTTGGGGATCTCGTTGCTGATTGGGGCATGGTCAAAGAAACCCTCTTTGTATGTGGTGCCTGAAGACAGGAGCTTATTTTACACCATGGGATTTCTGATCACAGGACTGTTATGGGCACTTCTTGTTTTACCTCGCAACAACATGCATCCCAACAGAATATTAGGAATGGGTCTCGTCACCCTGTATTTGATATTTCTTTCTTTCAGGGTGTGCACTTCTATGGGGCTTATAGCCTTAGCTGGTTTAAGTTGAGTTTATTGTAATGGATCTAAATCAAAACGAGCGTGTTTTCTACATCTCTTTGCGCCATGTGCTATATAATTTTTGTCGCGCAGACAGCTGATATATGGGACGAAAGAAATTCAGGAAAGGAAAAATTGGTCTCTGTATATAACAGGGATAAATTATGGCTTCAGCTGAAAATGCATTGTTGTATATCAAACATCATGTACTGATCAATCAAATTGACAATAGGTAGTCTCTTTACAGTTGAAAAATGAATACCCATGGATACAACTTACTGAACATAATTGAATAATGATGACTTTCCTTTCGTGGGAGTTTTGTATTTCAGCAGTCCAACAATCTATTGTGTTTGATGTCTTCTTATTACTATCTTACTTTCAAGATTTTTAATATTATGCAAAAGGTTACTAAACTTGACAATCACAAACATGAATTAGAGTGCCGGACAATTCTTAAACCCCCTTTGCCTTTGAAGCAGATTTTTTGTTTGTTTGTTTTAACAATGGGGAAACTAAATAATATTATCAAAAGTGTTGTATATTCTTGTACATCAAGATCTGCCAGAGTGATCAGACAAGCTACCTGGTTTGGAATCTCTTCTATCAGTACATTTCATAAAAATTGGAAGCTATACTTGACAAGGAAAAAATGTGTTTTCTGTCTTGATACTATCCGGCAAGCATGGTCGAAGTCTGAGTATTTTTATATCGTTGAATTTGTTCTTTAAATTTTTAAGTATACATGGGTTTTGTCCTTCTTAATTAAAAAAAAAATGAATTCTTTAAAATAAAAAAGGAACCAAGTTTACATATTTTAAATATACATTGGTTCTTATCTAGAATTACATTAACATTTCTTAAGAGTTGAAAAGATATAATATAAAACCAAACTAGTTTTATGTCGTGGAGGTTACCAACAACTGACTAAGCTTTTGGGACCATTGATTTTAAAATTTCAATTAATTTTTCTTAGTAGAAAATCTAAATACGTAAACATTTTTAAAATTGTATTTGTTTCAAAAGTCATTAAAATTAATGGAGAAGGTGAGGGATGCTTTTTGTAAGAAAAAATTCATTAAAAAAATCATGTGTAAGTCACATGAATATGTTAACTGATTTGACATTATTTATGGATTAGACGACAGTATAACATTTTTTAACTTAAATCTCATTGTAAATCTAAATAATAGAAAAGTATCGATGTAATCTTGAAAAACATAAAATATGATTGTAATTTATTTTTTTTATTTTATGTATCTTTATATTCATTATTCTGATATTTATTTAAGAAACTAACATCTTCTAACAAATATTTTTTTTATACACATTAGTTAGATATTAAATTCATGATCATAAGGAACAAAATTATATATTAACTATACCATCTTGTTGGTATGAAATATTTTAAATACTAAAACTTTCACTGAATTTTGTTAACGGTTAACTGTCTGAAATAAACAAATCCTTGTATTTTAATCTCTTAAAAGAAGATTCATAAGATTTTCTGTCCAACATTGAGTACACATTACACAAACTCCCTTGTGTTGTGATCCTTGGGTGCACGTTACATTGGGTCTGGCCAAAGTGGTATCCTGCGCAGGGCATGGAAGTTTGATTGGTCGAAAGGTCTTGTCTCTGAACAACCTCGATATTGCAGAGCATCTCTGCAAGTACACCGAAAATGACAGTTTTACCCTTTTAACATGAATAAAGTATTTGACCATCTGTCCCGCTATTGTTGGAATTTGCAAGGCCTCTTTTGGCAAAACAAATCTGAAAACTGAAAACTGAAAACTCTTTCATGTTCCTCGGTGACAGTCACGTGTGGCTAACCCATTTTTCAACCCACCATGCGTTGGACTGTGCAAGTGCAAGCTACCCCATTTTTCAAGTTTATAACTTGCACCATCTTCTCACGTTCTTCATTTTCATGCTCATGCTCTGTAACCCTGTTCATTGCGGTAGAAAAGAAACTGAAGATGGAGGAGGGTGGGGGTGGCTACAACTCTTCCATGGAGCAGTTAATGAGACCCAAGTCACCACCGCCAGGCCCTGTGGATTTTCATGCCAACCGCAACCAAATGGTTAAGATTCAGGTTTTGGAGAGAGAGATTGCTTTACTTCAGGTATCCTTCAATTATTCTTCCTATCTTTTCCTACCATTTCTTTTTCATTCTATTCAAATTATTTTAATTTTTTAATAATGTTTATTTATTTGCTTTGTAAATACATATTTTTCTATGACGTTATTATTCTCGTAATTGTTTTTAAATCACTCACTTCCTTATCATAAATCACCAATTATTTTGTAACTTTTTCTATTATTTTTATTTTTATTTTTATTTTTATTTTTTTGAGAAAGTGTGAAGGCAAACCATGAAGAGTTGTGAAGGAAGTAAGATTGGTTTAAGCAAAGTACTTTTTTATTTTTAAAAATATATATCGGGAGTGCCTATTTTACGTTTTTTTAATAAAAAAAAATTAGTGCAAACTTTTATTTTATAGCTTATATAAGAGAAACTCTAATTCTTATTCTAATAGATGATAAAAAAAAAATCACCAGCTATGTGACTAAACATGGAATTTCATGTAAGATAAAACTACTCAGATATTTGTGTCGTTTTTCTTACTCGTAGAAATTATATGATTCGTGTAAGATAAAACTACACAAACTCACTCCACCTGTTTTTGATCGTGAAACGAGAAGTTTTTCAACCGAATCTGTGTAATTAATTTGGTGGATTCCAAGGATTTCTATCGCAAATTACTATTCTCTAACGACCAATATGTAGTATAAGCAAAAAAAAAATATTGTTGCAATATGTTAAAAAAGTTAATTAAATATACTTATTTTTTACATAAAATATACACTATTTAATAAAATATATTTAATCACACTTATAGTAGATAATATTTCCAATTATTATCTTATATTTTGGGTTTAAAAACGTTAAATAATATTGACTTAATTTAAATTTATTTATATTTTAGTCTAAAATATTTAAATATTTTTTTTCTTATATATATAGATTTAGAAGTACTATCAAATAGTATATTATAATGTCCCTTTAATTTAATGTGTCACATTAATGAGAATTATTTATTTATCTATTTTGTTTTACAAAATTTATGCTAATCACGTGTGTGCCTCGGATTTGACAACTGTTAAGTTATTACTGTCAATAAATCCAAGATTTTATTGTCACATGGCTCTTCGAGATTTAGAGAAACTGAAACAACAGCTGGTTTTCCTTTTTTTTTTTTTTTTTTTTTTTTTTTTTTTAAAAA